TCGAACGCTGTGCATCACCCGCCTGAGGGCGGACGCGCAGCTGCAGCAGCCTGGATAAGGGCAGCATTGATAAGGAAGGCTGCCTCGGCCCTCGGTCCGTTCGAGGTCTGTGACACACACTCCTCGACAGCTAGACAGGAGCAAGACAGTACCTTGCTGGCCGGTCAGTCCCACTCGGCCTGTGAGCTCAGCACATCACTGAGCTATAGGTAAGATGCACTGATAGAGACCACTAGCCGCTGTCCCGACTGTAATGTTCGTCATTATGTGTCTTGTTAGGTATATGAAGAATAGAGATAATGAAGTGGTCAATAAAATGGCAGAAATGTAAAATCTTTGACTATAAAGTTGGCCAAGTACTAACTAACTTGGTACCATCTCAGATATTAAAAGTTACTTATTATAATATTTTTCGGTATTGTAAGACGATTTAGATATCGCGCGCTGTAGTGTAGGGGAGAGCGGGGCCAGTTGAACCACTTTTTATATATTGACATGCACAGCGAGATCTAGTTGTCATATCGAAAAATGCACAATGCCATGAAAAAATATGCTCTTTTGGCTTTATTTTAAGATATGTAAAATTATGTTTCAAACATATTTTGCTGCCAAACGCATGCTTATAAAACAGCTCTACGCCCGTTTCAAATGACCCCGATGCGAGGGTCAATTGAACCAGCCCATGGGGTTAATTGCACCTATACCTTAACAATGGGATGTTTTCCTCTTTAAGGCCACTTTCTTAAGGAGATATTTTGTCCGGTTTACTTTTCCAAATGCTACATTCAATAGGTCGTTGGAAAGCTAAAAGTGCAAAGTTCCTCATAATAGGTGACATAAAGTACATAGACTATGGGAAAATGGGCGGATGAGAAAAATGAGAAATATCTTAGGCTTTAGTGTGCTTTCAAGCAAAAGGCTGGAGAAAAAGGGTCAAAAATTGAGCTCTATTTAACCACTATTTCAGTTTAAAAGCTCATTTCAAAGGTGGACTATTTCCTTTAAAGGGACTATCCCACCTTTAACATGGGGTTTGAGTTGAGATAGCCAAGTTTGCGGCGAGGTTCAGAAACCACTATCTATCTAGGTTGCAACCCCCGCGGCCTCTTGGTGTTGAAGAAATTCGTTCCCTTCATTTGAAAATGGGCCTTGTACAAGGCCCTATCTTCAACATGGAGCGACCGTTAGTGTGACGTCACCTCGTTTAGTCATTCTGATTTAAATGGGTTTGTTCGTTGAAAAATCGCTTAAAACTTGGTCTGAACTTTGTTGTGGTACCTACAGAGTAAAAAGAATCAGCTTTATGACAGTAATGTGGCCTGGGGAAGGAGGTAATTTTGGGCTGTGACGTCACATATTTGAAAGTTTGTGTTTGGAATATGGGAAGCCTAAGATGTTTAGTGAAAAATAAATGCCAGAACCGTGTTCCTGGTCATCCAATCTATAAAGTCGGGCACAATTTAACTGGTTTTAACAACATTTTAGAAGGTGGGATAGTCCCTTTAATGATTACAGCCCCTGAACAATAACCATTGCTGTTTCAACTGACCCTCAGAGAAGCGTTTCAATTGACCCCATCCGCTCCCGCCATCTCGCACGCGCCGTAAAGCACATGTCAAACGAGCTGGAGGGACGGCATCATGCTGAATGAAGGGCCAAATAAGGTGTTATTCCGGAGCCAGGAGTTCTTCTTTCAGCAAACAAAGGTATATGAGATACCTATCACAAAATATTCATAAAGACGATTTCTCCCAAACGCCCCTCAAAAACACAAAAACAAGTGTCAAATCAAAATTACCGTCCGTTTGCCGCCCAAACGCCGTTGACAAAGGAAGTGGTCGAGCGCGGATGCGCAGTGGTGTCGGCAACGTCATATGTTGCATACTGTTGAAAATAAAGCCATGTTTCATCTGACCCCGTGTTTCAACTGGCCCCGCTCTCCCCTATAAGCAAGTGATGCGTTGATGCCAAGCTCAAACGTGCGGTGATGGGAAGCTTGACATGGCCTTCAATTACGTATGTACCTACATTTAAGCTTGCATATAAGTATAAATAAGTACGATTTAAGTAGATTGTTTTCACTGTTTGGGGAATAGGGGAGATCGGCGTTATCACGCTGCATGAGATAGGTGCCTCTAAAGTAGGCACACTTATTTATTTTAATCGGTTTAGGTCTGGTTTCTTTTTTCATGTCGTTATCTGTAGGTCTGGACGTCGAACGACGAAGCTGTTGTTAGCGATCCGCGATCTCTTTGATTTGTGGCAAAGCCAGATTGGTGGTGGACATGGCGACGAGCGGCCCCCAGTCAATGGCATTGGTAGCTTCACGCTCTGGTGACGTAAGCAGAGCGTGAAGGTTTTTTTATTTTCCCTTCACTAGTGCTTTACCTATGGGAGATACCGATTTCGAAGGCAAAACTAAAAGTCGATTTATTAAGTTATTAGTCGAGGTACGTATAAACCGAGTGTACCATACGACAGCCTGATCTTTCTTCTATCGATACCCGCATCCACTTTGGCGATGGTACATACATAAAACGCTGAAATTTGGCGATAGGCGGGAAGGTGCAATCCTAAACGGTATCATTCAATTACATCTTGATGGTTGCTTTTTCGAATGCTCGGAACATACCGAGTAGTGATGAACCTGACCTTTGATTCAAGCCGGATCTTGCAATACCAGCAGCTTTTTCAGGTCAGGTCAGGTCACTGACCTTTGACGTCATAAGTGAACCTCTGCACGGTCCTCAGATACCGCAAGTTCGCAACGCCCTCAGTGTCAGAGCAGATTTCACAAGGAGATGAAACTTGCAGGACCTAGTATCCTCCAGAAGTCTCACAACGTGTATATCTCGCTTTTTTATTCAAGGTCACATGAGGTCAGGCCGGTCATATGAAGTCACCATTATAAGCCAATGGGGGAAACTTATAAACAGCTATTTTGGAGCCCAGAACGATCTCAGACTAGCTGTAACACACGCAACCGTGATTATTTCATGCACTCTTTACAAGGTTCGATGCTTCATTTTTGCACCAAGAGCTTGCATGACGTCATTGATGACGTCACTAGTGTCATAAGTTTTTCGACAATAACTTCTGATCAAATTGAGCTAGCGAGTCGGGAAAGCCACCAATAGACTCGGGAAGACCTGCCAAATCGAATGATATGTGACATGACCTCCTTCGACCAAGTTCGTGCCCTTGGGATCTCTGACCTCATCGTGACCCGAGGTCAACACCCAAAGTTGGCCTCACCCAAATAAAAAAGAATACCATTCGACGCGTCTGAGCAGGGCGAATACGATGCTGTCAAAATCGCGGCCCTGCAATCATTTTTTGTGAAGTTATTCGCCAAAACCGAACCCGTACCTTGGGCCACTTAACCTGACCTCAGAGGTCACCGGTTGACCTGAGACCTTAAAATCGGGTACAAAACGCTGCATCTCGTAGCGACACACACGCTCGTCTTTTCTGCGACGTTCTAGCTCCATTAGGGGCGAAACGGCGAGATGGGGTCGTACCCCCCCCCCCCCCACCCCTGCCCCCGGCCGGCGCGTATGTAGAAAACCAATAAGTCCGGCGAGGGTTAAGCGGGTTCCACTGTGCACAAACAGCTAAGGGTTGTGCATTTAGTATGGTCATGAGAGAATCCTGTTTGGTTTAGGCTCATAATACAATGCATGATCACTTCCTGTTCATAAGTTTAATTGATTTTCTTCTTCCCAAAAACAAACAATAAATGCTCTTCTCCATATTCCCCTTCACTCAACAACTTTTGATCACTTTTCCCTAAAGGCCTAAGGTAATGCATTGGTAAAAACACAAATGGATGGCTCATCTCAATAGTCAATACTTCTGTCTCCTAATGCTCCTAATGCCTTTGATCATGGTGGCAATGCGATGTGATGATGACAGCATTCCATTTATCACCACTGAAACACAACTTAGCTCAAAAACACTCATATACATAAATTTATTTATCTCCATTTGTGCAAAATTACTTAACTTATCACATTCTTTGACTATTGCTTCAGAAAGACATATCAGACCATAAGATTGTGTGAAACAAGAAAAGATTATCAGGCAATAGAGTTGATATATGTGTAGATGAAGTCCAGATTGTAGACTTGAGTTTGGTAGGTTGTAGGAGTTAGGTTGTAGGTTTTAGGCTGGTGGGTTCGTAGGTAGTATATTGGTAGGTTGAAAGCTTTGAGTTAGAAGGTAAGGTTAGGTCAGGTTAGATGTTCAAAATCTTCACTGGACTTCATCTTCACATTTACCACAGAGTTGACACTTGACAAGCTGTGCCAGCCAATCTAGCAACTAAGTATTCCGCACTAGCACGCACATAGGCTGGAAATGTGCACAATCACACGAAAAAAGGCTGCAAGTTTGGGAACTCTGCACTTATATGGAAACTACACTAATATTCAATGATGTCTCATTTGCCTTCTGAAAATTTCTTAGATAGCATTGCATCAACAATCAACAGTGTCAGCTCATATCACAGCACAGCCATTCGGCATGGCATTTACCACATCATGGCACGCATTGTGCACTGATCCACACAAAATTCACACCACAATTAATCTGCACTGCATTGTGCATTGGCTAAGTGCCTCTGCCTGCACATACATCTTGCTGAACTGCCCTTCTTGGCAATATAATGTTGCAGCCGCAGGCATTGTAAGCATCAGAAGAGAGCCTGATGTTCTGGAGATTAACGGAGCAGTTTGAACATGCTTGCAAATCTGATGTTATTCATAGGTCTAAGCCTGACTTCGAGGAAATTTGAAGAATAATTTGAAACCAGTTGCAATACTGTTATTCTAGCCGTTTCAGTTTCACTTTTCAGCGAGGTCAAGGTTGTGCAGGGCCATAACAAGGCCTTCTTCACTTCAAATAATAATTGCAATTGCAAATCAGAGGCAGAACTGAATACCACAATTATTGAACAAAATTCTAAAATTGAAAATCACTGCGACGAAAAAGTACTGACGGCAGGAGACGCGATTTCAATAATAGAAATAGCATATCACCCAAAGCTACCTATACTGTAATTTGTTTACCTCGGCCGCCGAAAACACGTGTTTTTTTCCGACCGACTGCATTCGCCGACTCGCGGCCCCAGATGACGTAATCAACAAATAATTGGCCAATTAAGATAATAAAAATGATTGTTGGAACAATTTAAGAAAAAAACAGGTAACACTATCTAATTTTGTTATTTAATAATGTCAAAAATTCGTCTTAACGACCTTAGATGGGGACTTTTTACTTTATGACGTCATGTGTGCCAACAGTTTTCAAGAGGAAGTATAACAGTGGAATAAAACTACCTCTATTTGTAACTTGTTCGCCATTTCTGTCGACATTTGACTGCTACCATATCCCAAACTCTGACTGTACCCGGTGTTCTATATACTCTGGCGACGAGTTTCACCACGCCGCTAGACCAGCACGACTCGACGGTAACCATGGCGACAAACCTCACCACGCCGCTAGACCAGCAATTCGGCTTGTGAGTTTGTAGGTACCAAGTCCTTGGTACACTCGGGGGCAGATTGATGTTCCACCACTCCCTACCCATCGGGCTCCTATATATGGCTAAGCACTGGCTGCTGCCAGTGGCAGCACTGGCAGCACTGGCACTGGCAGGCAGTGCTGAGCAGTGCTGACGGCAGGCAACACTGGCAGCAGCCAGTGCTGAGCCATAGGAGCCCGATGGGTAGGGAGGGTTCTGCGACACCTGAGCGAGCGTCAGTTCAGCGAACGACATTTGAGCGAAGCCTTTTCAGCGATTATCAATTTAAGCGATTGACTTTTTCAGCGATTGTCAAGTCGGCGAATTCAATCACAGCGATTATCAACTTAAGCGAGGACCAGAATCAGCGAAACCATATTGAGCGAATATATGGAGGTCAATGGGGGACCAATTGAGCGAACACAGTTACAGCGAAACCGAACGCGACGGAAGTCAATCATTTGCTACTTTTCTGGAATTATTGCCCTTGGAATACCTGCTTGGTATGTGTCATGCTTCAAGCTGCGCGCGGCAAATTAAAAATTTGCTTTTAAGCTTGGAAACCACAAAAAAATATCTGGCCTCATTCTGCAACCTTGATCTGGAAATGTGGAACGTGAGAGATAGGACGATGGAAGGAATGCCAAGGACCGATAATAAGCTCGAGGGATGGCACAGGGGGATCTAGTCTATGTTTCAGGGACCTCACCCAAATATCTGGAAATTAGTACGTTGCTTGGGGCAAGAACAAATTTTTCAACATGGGGAACTGATCCAAATTCAAGGGGGGAATTTCGCGAAAAACAGCACAAGCAATATGAATCTCTGAACAAACGTTTGGTCATCATTATTGGCAAACAGCAGGGGGGGGGGGGGGGTGAAATCGAACCGCTGGAATTTTTGAGCAGTGTGGCATTAAATTTGGAGCTTAATGTCTGAACTTTGAACGTGACATCCGCCATCCAGTTCCGGATAACCATGGAAAGTTCCGGAAACATTTGTTGTACGTACGCTCGCAAAAGAAAAAAGAAAAAAGAAAAATACACCGTTACGGGACAATGAAGTGTTTCGCTGAAATGAGAGTCGCTCAAACTGTAGTCGGCGAAAAAGATGTCGCTGAAATATAGCTTTCGCTTAAATTGATAATCGCTATATTTGATAATCGATCAATTTGATATTCGCTAAGTTGCCAGTCGCTGAAAATGGTTCGCTCAAATGACGTTCGCTCAAATGACACTCGCTAAAGTCGCTCGCACCGGTAGGGAGTGGTGGAACATCAATCTGCCCCCGAGTGTACCAAGTAGGTACGGTCTTGCGAGATTAAGCGGTAGGTTTTGCACTTTTACATTTCCGGTTATATCTCAGAAACTAATCGATCTACGATGAAGCCATTTTACACGATCATGGCCGGCTTGTTACCCAACAAGTCGATCGCATCTTCAACACTTACAAGCTTAAGACGACGAAGATATAGCCTGAAGTATAATTTTCTAGGTGCAAAACCTACCGCTAAAACCCGCGAGACCTGTACATATGTACAGTGGCCACTGGCCATGGACTATGGTGACAAGACAGTGAGTCACAACTAGCAACTATTTGGTGATTGCATTGATATCAGTTTTGATTACTCAGTCCACACCGTGGCCAGCTTTGTTTTATGTGTTTTCGTGTTTCAGGTTTCCCGCTGAGCTGATAAGGGTGCGCTCAGGGACGCTCGCCTTCTTGATGGTTGTGGGTTTCGTAGGGAATTTCCTGACATTGGTAGCCATCAAACGCACTCCTAGTCTGCATAATGCCACCACCGCATTCATCGCCAGGTAATAAGTGTGAATAACGCTCGCTGGGGGGGGGGGAGGGGGGGAGTGCTCCGTGCCATAGGGCATACCTTCCCAGTAACCCCATATCTATTGAATGGCTACCGGATATAGCTGCAGAACGTAGTGTTGCATTTCGTGCGTTACCGATTTGATGTTATACATATACATTATCTATCTGTCGCAGATAGTTTCGCTATATCTGCAGAGTTGTGTCGGCCTAACTGCAGCCATCTATAGCAGTCTGCCGTTGTACCTATGGCATGGAGTGGTGCTGTTTCAGTCTGGGTGTAGCAGATCTGATGTTCTGTGCGCTGGTCTTGCCATTGGATATTGTCCCCTTCTCCGAGAGCAGCTGGCTGAACGGCAACAGCGTCCTCTGCGTCATGCAGACCTTTCTCAAATATCTATCGGTGATGGGTTCGCTATTCTCCATCAGCCTGGTAAGACTGCAGGGTCACAATTTACTGTACCTATATATGTGTAGGTAATGTCACAATAGCTTGCACAATTTTAAGACAAAAAAAGGACTTTGCGTGTAATTATTTCGGCTTGAATTACACGGATTTGACAGTTCCACGGTGATGGAAGCCCGGCGTATACGCTAGTTGGTCTGGTCGATTATGTGTTAGATATAAGTACCTACATACCTACCTAAAGAGACCCGAATCCACTCGCGTGGCCGTCCATTGCAGGGTTATCGGGCAAAACGCACCCGTGCATTAAAATGTCTGTTTACTATTTCATATTTGCATGCATTTTCAAGCAACCTTTAGTGTCATTTAGGGTCATTTTACCTTCAGTCAGGTAAAATGTAGCTTAATTTATCATTAGGGGTATAGGTTGGTGCACATTGTAGCACCTTTACCTATTAACTATCCCAGAGCATTTACACTGTCTTTCGTTCTTTTTCAGATATCGTTAAACAGGTACGCATTTCTTCGATATCACCTTTTAGCGCTATCTCTAACCAGAAAGACGTTATAGATGAAGTCTCACTTTTATCTCCAGATAGGCTATACAGTAAGGTAGCCCATTGCCCAACGGTAGTTTTTAGAAGAGTGATTGTTCAATACCAATTGCAACATTTTTGTTCTGAGCAGGTCGAACAAGAGACATGGGAGTCCCTCATGTAGTTAAGTACTAGAGTTATAGTAAGTTAGGCATGCAAGATTTAGAACCTTCGTCTCGCGGTACAGCGAGAACGCAAAATGTAAATTCTTAGCATGTAGGTATAGGTGCCCCAGCCTTGCCACTCCGGGGAGGTATCCAATGCGCTGACTGCCCAGCGTCCGTCAGGTTTGTGTTGATCATCTGTCCTCCTGGCGTCTATCACCGGCTGTACCAGAGACGGTGGGTAGCGGCGCAGATCGCCGGCATCTGGAGCTTCAGTCTCGTCATGCTGACCCCCACCCTGGCCGGCGCCTGGGGTAAGCGCTTATGAGAACGCATGTATATTTGTTGCATTGCACACTGAAAGTTATGTTGACCAGCACCCACGCCTATGATAGGCTACAAAACTACATATATCTGGGCCTCTGGCGAACTAGTCGATACGAGGCGAAAACGAATGGTAATGGATTATGAATGCGTGAATCAATATAGCAGTTTAGGATATGGGCGCTGACACAGGATCCCAATTTTGAGCACTACAGCAGTGAAGTAAAAAGCATTACCTGCGTATCCTACGAAATGTGTGCACTTAACTTCAATGAGCACACCAGCCTAGCCTGACGGGGGCCGCGTGCGGGACAGGCCGGTTCGGCTACCTGCCGCGGCTGCGGTGCTGCGCCATCCTGCCGGTCAACGGTCGCTCTCCCAACGTCGCCCTCTTCATGATCACCTTCCTGGCGCCGTGTGCCGTCATCTCTGTCTGCTACCTGGCCATCCTGATCGCCGTGATGAGGTAAGGACTAAGGCACAGCCCGCGGTTACTGCAGTGAGAATGTAATCAGACGCTTTTGTCAAACAATTTGTCTAAAAAAATCACCATTCATTTCATCATTATTCATTCATTTCTTTGTTGTTTTATTTCTTTAGAGCTCACATGATATCATGTGCAGCCTGTTAGTTCCAGCTGTCTCCCTCGGTACCCACCAGCCCCCCCCCCATGTGGATGTCAGAGCGCCGCGTTTCCTTCCAAAGGTCGAACAGGCGGCAGCGGCAGTACTTAGCGCCACAAAACGGCGAGGTCAGCAGCCAGCACGCCCTACGCCAGCGACGCCACGAGGTGCGCGTCACCAGAATGTCCCTGGCCGTCTTCATGGCCTTCATCGTGTGCTTCACGCCGCTCACGATCATTAACATCTGGGACGTCGGCTTCAACCACCCAGGTGACAGACAACCACCAGAGACGGCTAAACTTTATCTGTGACTTGACCGAACGGCGTACGGCTACAACCATACGGGTAACTTCCCCCGCATCCCGCAAGACCATTCAGCCGAGCGCACCCTGCCGGGTGGGGGGGGGGGGGTGGGGGGGATTCTGCACCTTGTCTAACTTCCGAATGTGACCTGTGACCTGCTAAGGCCGGTCATAAATTTGGCCTTAGCAGGTCACAGATCAGGTCAATGCCACGCCAAGAGTAAAAACTGCAGGTTCCTACATTACCAGCTTTGGATCTCAGTTGACGAATAATGGACTGAGCTGATTGATCATCTAAAAGCGTTTTTAGGCTACCATGACAACATGCATTCCAAATATTTTTTTTTGCGAATGTCAACGGTCCATGTTAAGTCACGTCACCAAAGACGAACTATTGAATAGGATGTGAACGACACACATTTTCTGGATAATTTTACTCAAAGAACTCAGGGGTATGCTGAAGTAGTGATATGGATGGACCATATTTGGATAAAGTTTACATCAAAGTCAGGATAAGGACAGGGTTAGGTTCAGTATTGAAGTTCGGTATTGGCTGAGACAAAAAAAAAAATGTCTAGTGCTGATGCAGTTTTTTCTCGGCGAATCGAATTGTGCTGTATTTATTCCTTTACAAGGTCTCAGCCTCCCAATTTTTTTTTTATTTGTACCTTTGTGTCGTCGCGTCCTTAAAATTTGAGAAATAGTGCCTACATTTTTAACCGACTCCCCTTAAAAAATGGGATGTAGTTAAGTGCAGAGACTGCACCTACCTCTCTAATATAATTTTGGTTTTTCGATAAACGGAACTTTTTTAATGCTACCAAAAAATCCATAATTAGAAAGTTTGAATAAAAGGCCAAAATTTTCTAAATAAGCTGTAGAGACATTTCAACTAAGAGGAAAATTTACGTGCATGCATTTCGTTACGTCTTGATTTATTAAAAACTGAATATGGTAGGTATAAAGGTGCGTTTGAAGTTTTGCAGTTTTGAAGCGGAAATGACATGACATGACGTTTTGATTTTCCTCAAACGTTTCGTCATTTTCCTCAAATTTCCCGACAGATTTCGTTGAAAGTTTCAGGCAGCATGTCGAATTGAGGTAGGTATATGATAAGGCACTAAAAGACTGTCGGTGCCGGCTTGACTCGCCTAGAAGCCATTGGCGAGAAAGCGTGAGGGGAAGATTCTGCCAAACACCCCTACGGAGCGTGGTTAAATACGAATCACGGTGTTGGAGGTGAGCCCTGAGACGACGACTTACGGCTACCACTATTTTAACTTCTGGTATACTCGGAAAGTGGCAGCCCTGTGACTCGGATGGCCGGCGGCTACAACCGGCAATGTGACTGGCAATAAACATTAAGCAGACTCGACAGCTCACTGGCAGACCCAGGAAGGCGGTCTTCAACGCTGCGGAGGGCATACTCCCAAAAAGTTTCTCCAAATAACAAATACTCATCGGATTTGAATTCCTCGCGCACTCTTGTGCAGTTTAAAACAAACTTTTCCTCATACAAGTTGTTTTGTTTTGGCTTTATTTTCGAAAAAAAACAAACAAACAAATTTTTGTCGATTTCGGGCGCTGCGATGGGGGGGGGGGGAGGGGCAAGAGACATTTTCCCCAAATGCCCTCGCACTATCGGGGATCCCCCCTGGATTCCCCAGTGCGACAGCTGCAGTGTTAGGACTTCGAGGGTAGGTAGTGACAGCTAGCACAGTAGCAGGGTTCTTATGTGCGCCCATGTAGTGACTCGTGCTCGCATTTCCAGTGTTGCACGTGGTCGGGTACGTGATAATGTGCGCCTCGAGCTCCATCAACCCCATCATCTACGTGGCGCTGAGCCAGCAGTACCGGCGTGCCTACTGGTCATTGTTCAGCTGTGGAAAGCCGCGACGCGGCCCAGAGACCTCGTCAAACGGTGAGACACCAGTGTCGGTAACGAAAGCAAAGGCAGCCCGGGACGCGACAGACTCGACTGCCAGCTTAGCTTGGGCGGTAACTCTATAAAAGATATGGTTAGTAAAGCCATTAAAAAGCCTTTTGGGACGACAACAAGGGAGCGAAACGGTGAGCCCTGCACGTGCAGAAGCGCAAGGGCCGATGGGTACTTCCAACTGACTTGTGCAGTGTGCACGGCACCCCTGGCCTCTAGCAGTGTGCCAATTTGGGCGCAATGGGCCCAGCCACTCTTGATATATGGGAGTGGCACCCTGCATGTGACCATGCGCAATCTGGGTCCCAACTAACTTTTGCACGGCACCCTATGCTAATTGCCGGTCCCTGGTCGTGTACCAATTTTGATTGCAATCGGCCCAGCCGTTCTTGAGATCTAGGAGCAGCCCCTGCATATGCGCACGTTGACGTACATTAATCGTCAGTGACCGTCACCCACATATGTCGGTACTATTTCAAACAAACTACGGTTAATAATGAAATGGTTCGAAGAAGGAATGGAATACGGCCCGGCCACTCATATTCAGGATTGTTTGCTATCCTACGAAGGACTTCGCTCTCTTGTAATAAACACTTGAACGGGTGGTTTGAAAATGTCATAGGTGAGAGTGGGGCAAAGCGGCCACCCGGGGCAAAGCGGCCACCCATCGTTTTAGCCCTTCATAGCTGACGTCAGTTCCAATTTATGGTTTCCAATTATACTTCTCTTCACGGTCGTTCGAATGAGCCAGACCGGGGTTTCAGGCCCATCACCATTGTTCTGTGAAACACGGAAAAGCATTTCTTGCCAGTTTACCAACTATGTTTACAATTTTTAAATGTTATGTTATTCCATAACCGTTTGAAATTTTTATAAGCGTTCTTGTCCATACATTGCATGATTATCGTACATGTATTCTACCAGTTTTAATGTTTTCTACCCCACTAATAGCTAAGCTGGAATATTTTTGTCTCGGACGGTATGCGCGGGGCAAAGTGGCCGGGGCAAAGTGGCCACCCCCCAATTGGCCATAAGTTGCTTCCATCTGGATAAAAAACATTATGTATATTCAAATGTGTCGTCATGCATTCATCTTGGGCACTTTTCAGTTGCATGAGTTACCAAATAATGCAATTAAATGTTTATTTTCATGAAAATCCTTTCTTTGTTTACCTACAGGTGGAAGATGATAAAGTAAACATCCATCCTCGCTTAACCTTGTCACCATCAAATACCCTATAGTCGTACACGAGGCAACTATTTTGTTTCTCATATCGGGACTTGAGAAGACGCCGGTGGCCACTTTGCCCCAGGGTATGGGGCAAAGTGGCCAATATGCATAGGTTTAAAGTTTTGTCAATATCTTTAATATGTGAACGCCTTTGTAAATAAAACGCAGTTGAAATAAAATGCAACTTAATAGGGATCACATTGGTATAGAAAGAATCTTTCCAAGTTTTAAAATCAAGCGTTGGCATCGTGAGAAGCGTTAGGGTGGCCGCTTTGCCCCACTCTCCCCTACATTCAAATAACGAAATTGATAACCGAATTGATAAAGGGCAAGTATATCGCTGCACCTAACCGAATCGCACATGTTTCTGATGTTTCTCAATGTTGCAGGCCCCGCACTCACCTACGTCACCGGCCTCAGTCACCAATAAAGTAAACAGCCACGCCGTGGGTCTGGGTGGAGGGTCCGCCAGCGCGGGACCGTGAACATGTTCCGCTCGGCACAACCGGTCAGAGAAGTAACAGCGAATCGTCGTCTGGCCGCGAGGAAATACGAGTGATATAGTGACAGTGTCCAGTTTGTGCGGTCAGGGCCGGCAACGGATAATCCAGAAGAACCACGGAGACTGTTGTTTCTCGATCCGCTGCAATAGACTCATTTCATGTACAGATGCGGCACGTTAGCCCAGCAACACATTGGCGGGACAGATTAGACATGCTTGGGTCTTCTTGCTTTGTGTTGCATGCGCGGCGCGCGCTGTCATGCTTATTGTTTACACCATTTATAACATGAATTATGATATCCATGATGTAGTAAATGTGTACGAAACAAACGTTGAAACGGATTAAGCGTGCACGAACTATAAGATGTCTGTCAGCCATGAAGACGCGATGTGATCATGCCATAATGCACGTTTCGTCCGGCAAATCACCGAACCAGAAAGATGGGCATCGAATTCATATGTTGCATTGAAATCGATTTGCACCACACGTATGAGTGCTGAGCATGCTTGTACCCAACGTAAGCACCGGCTCTTTCAATTCTGAAGTCCCGTAAGTCGCACTGATTATTGAATGCTTTGGAAAAAAACCGTGAACCGTGACGTTTCTAATTCGATCCCCGAGACATAGGTACTAACTGTTATTATTGTTTCTTTGAACGTTGTTGGTCAATCGAGTCATACAGTGACCTTCTCTTTGAAATGCTTATATGCTTCACGCCTGGAATACCTATTTCGCAGATGTTATTTCCTCATGGGCACAAGCAGACTGGTGTTTGATTCATCTGTGATTGAATCGATTGGATTGAATCAAACAAAATTTGTTGAATCAAAAAGGTTTGATAAGATTCACCGTCAGGATTGTTTGATTCACAAGCCATGATTGAATCAAACGCATTGGGAATCAGGGTTGATTGAATAAAAAAAAAAGATTCATGAACTTAAAAAAATTGAAGTGAACGAACATAGTTCATTATCAACAATATTAGCACTACTGCCATTACATGACAACAAAAAGAACACAACAAATACAATACTATCCCTGATATTTTGTATATTTTATTTTTTAATTGAATCAAAAAAGAATCATTAAGAAAAATGGCTGAATCAAACGTGAATCATTCCTTTTATTGTTTTTTGATTCTCTGTATCAAAAGGAATCGATTCACCAAATTTTTTGAAGGAATCAAACGGTGATTGAATCAAACAAAAATCAAATGAATCAACGATTGAATCGATCCAAAAAAGGTGAATCAAAAACCAGTCTGAGCACAAGTTGGTTAAAATTTTGTCATTCACTCCGCATCAAAGCTCTGATAAAATAAGAGTCCTATACCTATTTCAGCATGAAAACGCGAAAAGCAGACACCCCAGGGCATTATAGATCCCATTATTCTGCGTAATTAAATGCAAAACAAAGTCATTCAATGAGTAACTACTCCGCTGTTTACTGCGTAATTACTCCGCCGTTCAGCTGTTCATTTGGAATGCGTTTCCCGCTCAGCACTTTCAATTTAGATAAAGTACCGATTTTTTCCGCTATTATGCCTACGATAGCTATAACTCGCCAATCGCCATACTGTCTGCATTAGCCTTCCATTCAATTGATAAAAAATGTTTTTGTTTCCTCGTATCTTTTATTTGTTTTGTATAAATAATAAAATCTGGCCGGCCAGCGCCGTCGGCAATCGAGTGGGATAGTCGTTCACTGTCGGCGCGGAGGTTGTCAGATTTGACCACGCTGTTGGCTGAAGGTCACGGGAAGCTGGTGCCACTATCACTGTCCTGCGGACGTGGACGGACAGACTGCACCGGCACTCAGGGAACCCCGGGAAGTGGCGGTCCCGCTCCTTTGCAGCGCGCTGTACCCGGCTGAGGGCGGACGCTGAGCTGGCAGCGCTGATAAGGAAGGGTGTCGGAGCCTCCGCTCCGTCTATGGTCTGTGACACACACTCGGCAGCCAGTCGGGATGCCGAGGCAGTAGCGGCCGCTCAGACCCACTCGGTCTGTGAGCTCATCACATCACTGAGGTGAGAGATACACTAAATGCGTCTTGTTCTTTACCTAAATAGCGGTACTTTTCACTGTAATTGTCAATTGTCATGGTAGGGTATACCGGGGCAACGCGCGCCCCTGAGGTAATGCGCCCCACGTCAACATCTTAGGTATATTTTTTAAGTTCCTGCCGACCAATGAACAGGCTCTCTGCAGAAAGGTCGCCTATTATCAATATTTTGGCAGGATTGATCGGAAGGTGGCGCTGCTCTGAGGTCAGTTTTGTTTTATGCGATTTTCATAATATTCAAGACATTTTTAACCAGTGTGTACCTATTCGTGACTTATATTATATGTTAAAGGACGCACGCAAGCGTACCTACTGCCATAGTTTTCATGGGAGATATGATTTTTGCCAAACATAGTTTGCGTCACTTACGCCGTCGGTGCGTCAGGTGACAAAGTATGATTTAGTTGACGCGGGAGTAATGCGGCACAGCATAGCAATTAGCAGGGGCAAGAAGCGCAGCATCAGGGGGGCGCTTTGCCCCAGTTATGCTGTACAAAGCATATCATAAAGGCACCTATATGTAACCGTCGCGTAGGAGGAAAGGGGGAGGGACATGGGCCGGACCATTTTACTGCAGTCACTCAGCCAGAGACAGATATCAATGATGCTTCGTCTGCGTTGAACGTCGTCCATCGTCCATAGGTTTGCGTGACGCTGCTGTATCTGAGTGGCACGCTCTTAGATGATGATGACGAATATGACTACGAACCTCGACACGCCGCTAGACCAGCAGGACTGGACAGTAGCCATGGCGACGAACTTCACCATGCCACTGGATGAGCAGATAGGCTGGTGAGTACTGAGTAGTTCTGGGCCGCTGAGTAGCCATTATATGTCAAGCCAGTGAGCCACTACGAGCAAATAGGGGAGAGCGGGGCCAGTTGAAACACGGGGTCAGATGAAACATGGCTTTATTTTCAACAGTATGCAACATATTGCATTGCCGACACCACTGCGCATCTGCGCTCGACCACTTCCTTTGTCAACGGCGTTTGGGCGGCAAACGGACGGTAATTTTGATTTGACACTTGTTTTTGTGTTTTTGAGGGGCGTTTGGGAGAAATCGTTCTTATAAATATTTTGTGATATCTCATATACCTTTGTTGGCTGAAAGAAAAATTCCTGGCTCCGGAATAACACCTTATTTGGCCCTTCATTCAGCATGATGCCGTCCCTCCAGCTCGTTTGACATGTGCTTTACGGCGCGTGCGAGATGGCGGGAGCGGATGGGGTCAATTGAAACGCTTCTCTGAGGGTCAGTTGAAACAGGGCCACAGGCCGTTTCAATGGACCCCGGTGACCTTTGCAATGGTTATTGTTCAGGGGCTGTAAACATTAAAGGAAATAGTCCACCTTTGAAATGAGCTTTTAAACTGAAATAGTAGTTTAATAGAGCTCAATTTTTGACCCCTTTTTCTCCAGCTTTTGCTTGAAAGCCCACTATAGCCTGAGATATTTCTCATTTTTCTCATCCGCCCATTTTACCATAGTCTATGTACTTTATGTCACCTATTATGAGGAACTTAGCACTTTTAGCTCTCCAACGACCTACCCAGCCAGCCTTCCCAAATGGGGCCCATATGGGCTGAAAGTGGGGCATCTGGGCTTAAGTGGGCATGGGCTACATGTGGGCTATTATCTGGGCTAAATCTGGGTCCCATATGGGCTGAGCCCCAGCAAACATGCCCACATGGGTCCCATATGGGGTGAACATGGGCCAGATGGGCCCACGTGGGACATGGGCTACAGATGGGCTACCCACATGGGCCCCATATGGGATAAAAATGGGCCAAGTGGGCAAAACGCATGTGGGCTGGAGATGGGCATCCCATGTGGGTCCCATATAGGGCGAACATGGGCCAGATGGGCCCACGTGGGACATGGGCTACAGATGGGCTACCCATATGGGCCCCATAGGGGATAAAAATGGGCCAAGTGGGCCAAAGGCATGTGGGCTGGAGATGGGCATCCCATGTGGGTCCCATATGGGGTGAACATGGGCCAGATGGGCTCACGTGGGACATGGGCTACAGATGGGCAACCCATATGGGCCCCATATGGGATAAAAATGGGCCAGGTGGGCCAAACGCATGTGGGCTGGAGATGGGCATCCCATGTGGGTCCCATATGGGGTAAACATGGGCCAGATGGGCCCAGTGGGACATGGGCTATAGATGGGCTACCCATATGGGCCCCATGTGAGATAAAAATGGGCCAGGTGGGCCAAACGCATGTGGGCTGGAGATGGGCATCCCATGTGGGTCCCAGATGGGCCCACGTGGGACATGGGCTATAGATGGGCTACCCATATGGGCCCCATAAGGGATAAAAATGAGCCAGGTGGGCCAAACGCATGTGGGCTGGAGATGGGCGTCCCATGTGGGTCCCATATGCGGTGAACCGGGCCAGATGGGCCCACGTGGGACATGGGCTACAGATGGGCTACCCATATGGGCCCCATATGGAATAAAAATGGGCCAGGTGGGCCAAACGCATGTGGGCTGGAGATGGGCATCCCATGTGGGTCCCATATGGGGTGAACATGGGCCAGATGGGTTCACGTGGGACATGGGCTACAGATGGGCTACCCATATGGGCCCCATATGGGATAAAAATGGGCCAGGTGGGCCAAACGCATGTGGGCTGGAGATGGGCATCCCATGTGGGTCCCATATGGGGTGAACATGGGCCAGATGGGCCCACGTGGGACATGGGCTACAGATGGGCTACCCATATGGGCCCCATATGGGAAAAATGGGCCAGGTGGGCCAAACGCATGTGGGCTGGAGATGGGCATCCCATGTGGGTCCCATATGGATCACCCATGTAGGCCCCATTTAAGTTACTCCAAGAGCATAAAAGCAAAAAAGGTGACTGTTGTTCATGTGAATTTTGGACTCCAAGTACATCAAGTTCATACATGATGCCATATGGGGTCAATGTAGGCTGGCCCATATGGGTCCCTGATGTGGGGGCCGCGGGGGTCTCATATGGGGCCTACGTGGGCTTGCCCATATGGGTCCCATGTGTCACCCACTGCTATTCCCATGTGGGGCCCATATGGAAGAGGTGGGGGGCCATGTGGGCCCCATATGGGAACCATGTGGGCATGTTTGCTGGGATATGGACATTTCCTTTACTACAAAATGTTGGTATCTGACCCGACACCTATCTGGGCTGGATCCCAGCAAACATGCCCACATGGGTCTCATATGGGGTGAACATGGGCCAGATGGGCCCACGTGGGACATGGGCTACAGATGGGCTACCCATATGGGCCCCATATGGGATAAAAATGAGACAGATGGGCCAAACGCATGTGGGCTGGAGATGGGCATCCCATGTGGGTCCCATATGGGGTGAACATGGGCCAGATGGGCCCACGTGGGACATGGGCTACAGATGGGCTACCCATATGGGTCCTATGTGGGCGCCGCGTGGGTCCCATATGGGGCCTACGTGGGCTGGCCCATATGGGTCCCACGTGTCACCCACTGCCATTCCCATGTGGGGCCCATATGGAAGAGGTGGGGGGCCCATGTGGGCCCCATATGGGAACCATGTGGGCATGTTTGCTGGGATGCGGGCGCCATGTGGGCAAACTGGACATCAACAAGCTGGGCACACCCAGCCGGGGCCCACATGGGGCCCGGCCGCCCACATGGACAAAATTTACTACAAAACTTTGTTAACTGACCCGACACCTAGGTATCTGGGCTGGATGCGGGCAGCATGTGGGCAAACTGGACACCAACACGCTGGGCACACCCAGCCGGGGCCCACATGGGGCCCAGCCGCCCACATGGGCAAAATTTACTACAAAACTTTGTTAACTGACCCGACACCTATCTGGCCTGGATGCGGGCAGCATGTGGGCAGACTGGGCACCAACAAGCTGGGCACACCCATCCGGGGCCCACATGGGCAAAAGTTACTACAAAACTAATTGTTAACTGACCCGACACCTACCAATCTGCAATAAACATTTCCTTTATTACAAAATTTTGTTAACTGACCCGGCACTTATCTGGGCTGGATGCGGGCAGCATGTGGGCAAACTGGGCACCAACAAGCTGGGCACACCCATCCGGGGCCCACATGGGGCCCAAATGGGCAAACTTTACTACACTTTGTTAACTGACCCGACACCTATCTGGGCTGGATGCGGGCAGCATGTGGGCAGACTGGGCACCAACAAGCTGGGCACACCCATCCGGGGCCCACATGGGGCCCAAATGGGCAAACCTTACTACAAAACTTTGTTAACTGACCCGACACCTATCTGGGCTGGATGCGGGCAGCATGTGGGCAGACTGGGCACCAACAAACTGGGCACACCCATCCGGGGCCCACGTGGGGCCCAAATGGGCAAACCCCAGCCAGCATGCCCATGTGGGCCCCACATGGGCAGTTGATGGGCATGGTGGGCTAGGTGGGCCATGGGCTAGAGATGGGCAAATATGTGGGCTGCATGTGGGCCCCACATGGGCTGCCCACATATTTTTTGGCAGGTATAATGCTTGATAATGAGATTGCTTGCACATGTACGAGGGCATATCCAGGAATTTTGGTGAACACAGGCATTCACGCGGTGTTCCTGTATGGTGGGCTTAACATGGGCACTGCGTGGGCAGCCCATGTAGTGGGGTGTAGGTGGGCTGGATGTGGGCAGCCCATTATTTATTTTTTCACTGTCCAATGTGTATGATATTACAAGAAAAAAGAACTCGCTGTTTAGTCTCATGCCTCCAAAATACACTTCGACGTCGTGAGGAAGTCGCATAGTTGATGGTTGTGAGACCAGCTACGGCTGATATTGGACAGTCAATGTTGTGATTGTGTCGTATGATTGTGTCGCCTGAGCCCGCCCCTGCGCGGGCGACCCGCCGGCGGAGCTCGGCCCACCGGACGGGGCCTGGGGCCGCCTCTGCACCGCCCGGGGCGGTGACCGGCCGACCGGCTGGCGGGGCTGCGGCGTCTGGGCGGGCCAGTTGGCGTTGAGACTCTGAGTGGTGTGCGTGTCCAATAAAGCCTTAATTCGGGCAGAACCGACACATGGCGCGGTCGGTATTAGCTCGAACCCGCCCATAGTGAGTACAAAGTGCGATTAACGAAAGTGAAAGGAAGCAGGAATGCGTAGCCGTGGCGGCCGCGCCGCAACCACGACCGCGTTCGAGTCTCTTCGGAGAGGCGCGCCCGCAGCGACGCCAGCTGTATCGCTAGTTGGTCGAGTCGCAGCTGTGACATCAGGACGCTGGACGTAGTCGTCCCATCTCTCCTTCCAGAGGTAGAAGGCGTCACTGCGGTCGGTGGAGATGTCCAGTCGGTCAGGCCGGATCGGCTGCAGGCTCGTCATACCACAGCGATTACGAAGGACTGTTCTAGAAGCCCTCCACGCCAGCCACCTGGGGAAGGAGAAAACGAAGGCCCGCGCAAGACAGATCGTCTACTGGCCCGGGATCTACCGGGATGTGGAAAATGTCACCCGCTGCTGTACCAGCTGCCAGAGAGATCTACTCGCTCAGCAGCAAGAGACCATGATGAGGAGACCGCCAGCGGAAAGGCCGTTCGAACTACACATCGACTTTGCCGATCACGCCGGCAGGAAGTACCTCGTGGCAGTGGACAGATACTCCGGGTGGCTGTTTGTCGCCGACCTCGGTGTAAGCGCCCCCGCTTACACCGGTCCGAAGGACGATAGCAGGCGTCATGACGAGCGCACTCGCTACGCGACTTAGCGTAAATGGACGGCACGGGAAAAGGGCTTTCGGCGGTACCCGGCTTTTTGATGT